AAAATTTGTAGGACATATTTCAATTATTATGCAGGCAATAAATAGGCCCAGTAATGCAAGTATACTAATAAAAGCAATAGGAGATAACCAAAGTAAAATTGTGTTTGTTTAGTAATACCTTTGAAACTATCAAAACTTTTGAAATATTCTCTGAAAGAGTTTCTAAAATGTACAACTATCAAGAACAGCAATCAAGATCACTAATGATTTAATTGGAACATTCTGTTATAGTATTTTGAAAATTCATTTTTTCCCACATCTATTTTTTCTTTTAACAAAGAAATAAATTAACAAAATACAGCACAAGACAAGACACAACTTTCATATTTCATCAATATAATTATATAAACAAAAAACCCACAAAAGAGATGATGATATACATTTCAGCAATTTGTGCATTATAATAAAGTTAACATGAGTATGTACATAGAATCACTCCTGATTTCATAGTTCCTATTTTGATGGAGATTAAAATGACACTGATTAGAGCTTAGTCGCCAAAATATATTTCAAAAAGCTAGATTAGCCTTTATACCTAAATACATTTTTGAAAATAACAAAAAATCTTGTTTTCTTTATTCACACACTTATATTTACATTTCCACTGCTAGTTCCTCAATAAGCATTACCAGAAGAAATTGCACTTTTGGTGATGTTAGGCTGTTCCAGGAATCTTATTTGCACTGACGACACAGACATTTTGATATAAAAAATATAAGGGAATATCTGTACTTACATGTAGGTCAATAATAAATAATAATTTAGAATGTAAATATAAGGATTGAAAGGCATGTTTTCGATGTTCATACATATTTACCATGAATCATGATTATGTATGTAACCGATTTGCATTCATACCAGCATGAAATTGAAAAATTATGGAGTGACTGAAACAACAAACTAATACTTGCATTCTGTGTGCCTACACATACATATAAAAAAATATTGGTGTACAGTATTGGGTGTGTCGTTCAGAAAGTCCAGATATAAACATCCTTTTCTCTCCTGTCTGTTACCGGTCCCATTTATCAAAAAGAAGACAACTGTGAATAAAAATCAAATTCAAGATATAAATTTTCTAATATTTAGGTTTAATTACATTCATTTTACCTGAGTGAAATATAAGGTTTTACAGTGTTTTTTTTTTTTTTTTGCTGAATCAAATAAAGATTTGCATTTAGTTACTAAACTAAATGTTGATAACAAATTTGTAATGCTAATATCTAAATCTTTTGGAAAAGCATGATCTTACAATGATCCTCATAAAATCTTTTATGGAAAGACTAAAATTGACATGGACATGCAAGAAGACTAAAAAACATCTAGTAAGTAGCATTAAGTGATCTTTAAAACTCCTGTTGATTTGAACAAGCTGTGGAACACAATATATTGTAACATTGTCAAAAACAAAACAAAAAAACACGATTTGGGCAGATGTTTGTAAAGTGTGGATCAAGCTAAAGAAAATAAAAGCACTTCCGATGTAGAAGAACAATCTGGCATTATTCGTTATTCAAAATAGAAAGCAATTTTATCTTGTATCAAACACGGAATAATAAAGTAAAATCTCAGATAATTATGATTTGATTAAAGATGACAATACACTGTACACTTACTATCAAGAATTTGAACAGATTTAGAAAGTAGAAATACTTTCTTCCCTTTCTTGGGACATTTCACATCTTTTTACAGTGTAAAATAATATATTCTCATTAGGCACATAAAAATTGGGAAGACGAGCTTGATTTTTGATGATAAAATATGGGAAAATTCATATAATTAAACGCAATGGTTGCAAAAATTAACCAGCACTTTCCTACAACAACTTGTTATCTTGTTAAAACTGGCTTAGTAGAAACACCTTACTGTTTTTTCATACAAAATGACATTAAAACAATAGAGCATACTTTAAATTAATAAACTAGTTTTAGTTTACAACAATTATGAAACAAGTTTTTACAACAGGATGTCACACTCTACAACCAGAGATCACACTTAACAATGGAAGGTGACACTATAAAACCAGAGGTCACACCCTACAACAGGAGGTCATAGTTTGCAAGGGAAGGTCAAACTTTAAAACAGGAGGTCACACTTGATAACGGAAGGTCACTCTAAAAAAGAGCGGCCCCCGCTTTACAACAGGAAGTTACACTTTACAACAAGAGGTCATACTTTACAACAGGAGGTTACACCCTACAACAGGAGGTTACACTTTACAACAGGAGGTTACACTTTACAACCGGAGGTGACACTTTACAACAGGAGGTCACCCTTTACAACAGGAGGTTACCCCCTACAACAGGAGGTCACAACAAGAGGTGACCCTTGATAACAGATGTCACACTTTACAACAAGAGGTCACACTTTACAAAAGGAGGTTACACTTTACAACAGGAAGTTACCCTTTCCAACAAGAGGTCATACTTTGCAACAGGAGGTTACCCTTTTTTACAGGAGGTTACACTTTACAACAGGAGGTTACACTTTACAACAGGAGGTCACACTTTACAACAGAAGGTTACACCCTACAACAGGAGGTCACACTTTACAACAGGAGGTTACACTTTTTAACAGGAGGTTACACTTTACAACAGGATGTCACACTCTACAACCAGAGATCACACTTAACAATGGAAGGTGACACTATAAAACCAGAGGTCACACCCTACAACAGGAGGTCATAGTTTGCAAGGGAAGGTCAAACTTTAAAACAGGAGGTCACACTTGATAACGGAAGGTCACTCTAAAAAAGAGCGGCCCCCACTTTACAACAGGAGGTCACACTTTACAACAGGAGGTTACACCCTACAACAGGAGGTCACACTTTACAACAGGAGGTTACACTTTTTAACAGGAGGTTACACTTTACAACAGGATGTCACACTCTACAACCAGAGATCACACTTAACAATGGAAGGCGACACTATAAAACCAGAGGTCACCCCCTACAACAGGAGGTCATAGTTTGCAAGGGAAGGGCAAACTTTAAACCAGGAGGTCACACTTGATAACGGAAGGTCACTCTAAAAAAGAGCGGCCCCCACTTTACAACAGGAGGTTACACTTTACAACAGGAGGTGTCACTTTACAAAAGGAGGTTACACTTTACAACAGGAGGTTACACTTTACAACAGGAGGTTACACTTTTCAACAGGAGGTGACACTTTAAAAAGAGAGGTCACACTTTACAATGGGACATCACTCTGAAACGAGAGGTCACTTAATTACAGAAGATCACACCCACAATGGGATGTCACACTCTACAACGAAAGGTCAAGCTGTAAAACAAGAGGTCACACTTTACAACAGAAGGTGACCCTTTAAAACAAGAGTTCACACTCTACAACAGGATGTCACACTCTAAAACCAGAGGTCACACTTTTCAATTGGAGGTCAGACTTTACAACAGTAGGTCACACTCTAAAACGAGACGTCACACTCTAAAACAAGAGGTCACACTTTACAACGGGAAGTCACGCTCTACATCGAGAGGTCACACTCTACAACGGGATGTCATGCTCTACAACAGAAGGTCACACTCTCAAATGAGAGGTCACACTCTACAATGGGAGGTCACACTTTCTAACGGGAGGTCATACTTTACAACACAAGGTCACACTTTAAAAGGAATTGTCACAATTTACAAGAGGATGTCATACTTTACAACAGAATGTCACACTCTAAAACAAGAGGTCACACTTTTCAATTGGAGGTCACAATTTACAGAGGGAGGTCACACTCTAGCACAAGACATCACACTCTAAAACAAGTGGTAACACTTTACAACAGAAGGTCATCCTCTTCAACGAGAGGTTTAACTCTCCAACGGGAGGTCACACTCTTAAACGCGGGGTCACACTTTACAACGGGAGGTCACACTCTTAAACGAGGGGTCACACTTTACAACGGGACGTTACACTCTAAAATAACGAAAGGTCACACTTTAAAAAGGGAGTCACGCTCAAAATGAGAGGTCACATTTTTCAAAGGGAAGTCACACTCTAAACAAGACAGGTGGTGACGCCTTAAACTTCAATCTTCAATTGGAGGTCACACTTAACAACTGGAAGTCACACTTCACAACTGGAGATAACATTCTAAAACGAGAGGTCACATTCTCCAACAGAAGGTCATACTTAACAATGGGAGGTGACAATCTAATTTGGGAGAGGTCTCATTTTACAATGGGAGGGGATACTTTAAAACCAGAGGTCACACATTACAATGGGAGGTGACACTTTACAACTGGAGGTGACACCTTACAACAAGATGTCACACTTTACAACAGGAGGGTACACAATACAACAAGAGGTCAAAACAAGAGGTGACACTTTAATTAACAGGTGCCGGTCACACTTTACAACAGGAGGTCACACTTTACAACAAGAGGTCACAACAAGAGGTGACACTTTAATTAACAGGTGGTACGTCTCACTTTACAACAGGATGTCACACTTTACAACAAGAAGTCACACTTTTTAACAGGAGGGTACACTTTACAATGGGATGTCACACTTTACAACAAGAGTCACAACAACAGGTCACACTTTACAACAAGAGGTCACAACAAGAGGTGACACTTTATAACAGATGTCACACTTTACAACAAGAAGTCACACTTTACAACAGGAGGGTAGGTACATTTTACAATGGGAGGTCACACTTTTCAACAAGAGGTCACAACAAGGGTGACACTTTATAACAGGTGGTCACACTTTACAAGGTACATATAAGGTATATATATGGTACATTATAAGGTATGAAGGTCACACTAGAGTGTGGCCTTCATACCTTATATGTACCAGAGAAAATGAGTCAATTATTATGCAAGGGGATATGCTATTCAGGGCAAGCTTCGGTTCTGCTTTAAGGCAATTTTGGTCTCTGTGGAGTATAACATTTAGATAGATAGATAGATTTAAGGTAATTTGAATAGGTTGACAAATTCCCGCGCAAAAACTGTAAGTACGGTTGTACCGGAAGTCGCCGATGATGTCCGAAGAATACCGAGTACTACAACAACATGGACGGGCGACGAGACTTAGAACTGATGAGCGAATAATGAGAATTGTTTTTCTGTTCTGGAAACGACCTCGAGCCAAACCAACGTACATACTTAGCGTGAGGCTCTTACTGGTAAGAAAATGGTATGCATGCAAGTATGCAAAAGATTAAGAAATGGTGGAAATCCCTCGGACGATGCTGTTGACACACAAAGAAAATAATATTGTGACAGCGGCTGATCTTTACGACAGGGGTCGTTCACTCGTTGTCCCTGGTCCAACGATAGTGTTGTTTGGTGTTTTTCATAAAATATCTGCAAATGCTTACTGTTCGTTTTGTCAATTAGGTTTCCAATTCTTACTAAATATTCATTGGTTTTAAATTATAAACACCAACCCCGTATAGTTGGGGGAAATTGGCCGATAGGCAAACGTCGTGTCACCTGTTGACACAAATCTGTTTTAAATAATGTAAACAGTTGAAACAAACTAAACCTTGAAGTTAATGACCAAACGAAGTAGTAAGTGTATGATAAACCGACGCGTGGATTCATCTGTAATTGATTTGTATTATATATTTGGAACTGATGACATACATTAATGACCTCGACATCACCTATTTTGACGGATTTCTATACTGCAGTATGTAAGACGAATTCACCGCAGAACTGTACTGTCCAGTATGGTAATCGATAGCAAGCGATTTGCTGAGAACGTTAGGCAACAAACCATTATGCCCGTTTTTTTTCATATTGCCCCTAATTAAAGTTTATTTTCCCATTATTGAAAACCATATCGTCCCTATAAACTAAATACTGTATTGCCCCAATATCAATATTTCCAAGAATAAACAATCAATATTTCCTAAAAAGTTATCACTAAATACAGTTTGATTCTTTAACTTTAAACTTTAATCTGATCCTAACCGGTACCTTAACCCAATGTAGCTATCTAGTGTACATGTGAGTTTGTGACCCAAAAAGGAACCCCTTACCCTAACCTGACTCTTAACCAAATCCCTTACACTAACCTTGCCCTATAATGAAGGGACGATATGGGTGGGTTCATTTGTTGTTTAGTTAAATTTAATGGAGAAGTCCAAATTACTCCCTTTCCAGACTTCTTATATTTATTCAAGGACATAAAGTAACTTTCTGTCCTTATCCCATAACAAATTAGTTTTCCATGATTATATATAAGAAATGAACTAATTTTGGATTAGACAATGTCTGCATTCTTGCACCCATTTTTCATTGTTTCTTTTCAGCAATCCAAACTGACAATTTGTAATTGACAATTTGACTTCAACAAAACCAGCTATGTCTGAACAACAACAACAGCAGCCGCAGCCATCGCAACAACAACAACAACACCCACCGTCTTCAGCACGTCAGCATCAACAACCCCAACAACAATCCAGTCAAGGACAGCAACAACAGGCTCATCCCCAACAACAACAGCAACAACAACATGTCCCCCAGCAAAACCAGCAGCAACACCAGCCGCCCCAGTCTTCACAGCCCCAGGTACGGCTGGCAGTAAGTGTTAATAGTTATCTACCTTTGTTGTTACGGCTACACGTGTGGTATGTGTTCATCAAATATTTGTCTCCCTTTGTTACTCATACTACGAGTACAGTAAAAGTTCTGTAAAAACTTATTTCGCCTCATGACCGAGACTGAAGGTACAGAAGCGTTCAGTAATGATAGATGCTATCATATATGAAGGTATCGGGCATAAAGACATATTGAAATTCTAATCAATTCTAACCCAAATTCTACATTTGTGGGTAGAATTTCAATATTCTGATACCTATACATAATGACCGACTCTTGTTTTCTACCAGTTCTTAACTAGGACTTTGGTAAAGTTAACAATAAAATTGTAAATGTATCAACAAATATTGCAAGTTTACCTGAAAATATACAAATTAACCAAGAGCATAGTTGCAAAGACCAGGGAGAGTATGATATTATATCAGATGTATATTTTAAAAATAAAATAATATGCAATTTACTGCAATTTTGTTGAACAGTTGATTACTTTTGTAAGGCAATGTCAACTGGCCACTATAATTTGGCAGTAGACATTTCTTTTGGTGATCAAAACAACAATTTAATGACAAAATGCCAAAAACGTTCATAGATTTTGATACATTGGTACATCTGAAAACTATAAACACCAAATACAGTAGATTTCTCTTAATATCACTTCCCATTTGTCAGAGAAAAACATGATATTAACAGAAACATGACATAAACAGAATACATATTTTCTGATGTTTTTCAGCCCTCAAAACTGGAAGTAAACTTAGTCAAATGCCTAAGTGATGTGGCTCTACGAAGAAGATTGATATTTTGTAACTAACCTTGTTCTTTACCCTAGTTGAAATATAGATAAAAGTAAATAAGTATAGAAATAAATATATTATTTGTATTTCATTTCAGTATGCAGTTACATTTCATATAGTTAGTAGCAAAATGACGATAAGTACGATCGTAATTATGATTGTTTACTGCAGTAGTGATGTAGGCATACAAGTGTTTGGCTGGTATTCTGCATCAAATCCGATTGTAAACATGAGACTTGGTAAATATTTACCTATATCTTGATATATATACTGTTCTTTCGCTAGTAACATCTTTTTATAGGTTAATTTTCTTAGATATTTGCTGCAAGTGTGTAATCGAAGATAGTACACATGTTATAATTAGTTGAAAGAAAACATCACACTTGGCATTAGAAAAGTTTACAGATGTTAGACTGTCCTAGCTCCCCCAACCACAGGTGAATATCATATTAACAAGTATGTAAGTCAACCTATTGTTTAACAGTCAGCCAGGTGTAACCTATTGTTTGACAGTCAGCCAGGTGTAAAAAATATCCTGTTAGGCCAAGGCATTGTTTACATAATGCGTCCAGGGTGTGACAGAAGGTCCCCAGGGCATTTATCATGAATCATTACCACCATTTACCTGTATTTTTTTGGTGAAAGTGGCCAAAATAAAGTGATATTAAGAGAAATCGACATAAAATCAGGTGATAATAAAAGAATTGAATTGCATAGATTATATAGCAGGAAAAACGGTGCATCAAAAAAACATGATAATAACCGAAAAGTGACATTAACAGACGTGATATTAAGTGAAATGTACTGTACTACTTAATAATGAAGCCAGATCATATTCCTGTATTGTTTTATGAACCTTTAACTTTGCCATGGATTTTGGCTAGAGAAGTTATTTCTAAAGCCTCCTTGGGTTCATTATAAACAAGTTTTATTGTATGATGCATGTGCAATCGGGGATGACGTCAACGTTTGGGAAACAATTTTGTTAAAAACTGAGGTGATACATTTTAATTTTTGTTTCCCTGCATTGCTATAGGTGCAACAGACTCAACCACAGACCTCCATGCATTCTGTGTCAAATATGGGGACTTCCCTACCTGTGACTTCCATGACCAATACCATGGCGACCATGGTAGCGGCAGGGATACGCAACCCTATACCACAGGTTCAGGTCATTCCTCAGATGCACAGTCCACCGTATATATCACAGTTCCCATACAACCAGCAACAGATCATGTTACAGAATGCCGCCATGCAGGGTAAGCTATACTCACAATAAACTGAACCATAGATTGTCATAGATGGTATAGGCCAAAAAAGTGCTTGAATTTAAGTCAATGCTTGAAATTAAAAGTACTCTAATGGAAAAAAGAGACATACTGTGGGGATGCTTGACTTTGTTCAGTAAGCCTTGAAAGTTACTGGATTATATGGTTTATACCCCATCACTTTTCAAGGAATATCAGGCAAGTTCTTACTATTTCAAAGATTTGTGTTGATAGAAGCATTTAGTTGCTTTAATAGTATTTTAAATCTGTTATCATTCATTTTAACTTGTTCACCCCTGAAATTTCATTATGAACTATTCCAATCTTTGAATTGGAAGAGTTCAAATGTGTCTTCAGGGATGAATGAGTTAAATTAAATAAACAGGGAAAGACTATCTTTATTAGTGGTAGAATGAACCACTGTTTCACAAAGGAATATTGCATGTACATGGAGTAAAATTGACCTTGTTTAATCCCTGATGTAAACCGATCATGTTTTATGTTGTGTGTTTCAGCTGCTATGCAGGCCAGTGCCATGAACATGAACATAAATCCACAACAACTTAACATGAACATGAACATGGCTGCCATGGCCATGCAGCGACAACCTCAGTCTGTCAATAACAGTCTCAACAGTCCTGGAAACTTACTCTCACATAGCCCCACCACACCAACACAGGTAAGCATCACCTGACAACCTCATAACAGTCTCAACAGTCCTGGAAACTTACTCTCACCAAGCCCCACTACACCAAAACAGCTAAGCATCACCTGACACCCTCAGTCTGTCAATAACAACACCAACAGTCCTGGACACTTATTCTCACCAAGCCCCACCACAACAACACAGGTAAGCATCACCTGACAACCTCAGTCTGTCAATAATAATCTCAACAGTCCTGGAAACTTACTCTCACAAAGCCCCACAACACCAACACAGGTAAGCATCACCTGACAACCTCAGTCTGTCAATAATAATCTCAACAGTCCTGGAAACTTACTCTCACCAGGCCCCACCACACCAACACAGGTAAGCATCACCTTACAACCTTGGTCTGTCAATAACAACACCAACAGTCCTGGAAGCTTACTCACACCAAGCCCCACCACACCAACACAGGTAAGCACCACCTGACAACCTCAGTCTGTCAATAACAATCTCAACAGGCCTGGAAACTTACTCTCACCAAGCCCCACCACGCCAACACAGGTAAGCATCACCTGACAACCTCATAACAGTCTCAACAGTCCTGGAAACTTACTCCCACCAAGCCCCACCACACCAACACAGGTAAGCATCGCCTGACAACCTCAGTCTGTCAATAACAACACCAACAGTATTAGAAACTTACTCTCACCAAGCCCCACTACACCAACACAGGTAAGAATCACCTCACAACCTCAGTCTGTCAATAACAGTCTCAACAGTCCTGGAACCTTACTCTCACCATGCCCCACCACACCAACACATGTAAGCATCACCTGACAACCTCAGTCTGTCAATAAAAACACCAACAGTCCTGGAAACTTACTCTCACAAAGCCCCACCACACCAACACAGGTAAGCATCCCCTGACAACCTCAGTCTGTCAATAACAATCTCAACAAATAACAGTCTCAACAGTCCTGGAAACTTACTCGCACATAGCCCCACCACACCAACACAGGTAAGCATCACCTTACAACCTCAGTCTGTCAATAACAACATCAACAGTCTTGGAAACTTACTCTCAACCAGCCCCTCTACACCAACACAGGTAAGCATCACCTGACAACCTCTGTCTGTCAATAACAGTCTCAACAGTCCTGGAAACTTTCTCTCACCAAGCCCCACCACACCAACACAGGAAAGCATCACCTGACAACCTCAGTCGGTCAATAATAATCTCAACAGTCCTGGAAACTTACTCTCACAAAGCCCCACCACACCAACACAGGTAAGCATCCCCTGACAACCTCAGTCTGTCAATAACAGTCTCAACAGTCCTGGAAACTTACTCCCACCAAGCCCCACTACCCCAACACAGGTAAGCATCACCTGCCAACCTCAGTCTGTCAATAATAATCTCAACAGTCCTGGAAACTTACTCTCACAAAGCCCCACCACACCAACACAGGTAAGCATCGCCTGACAACCTCAGTCTGTCAATAACAACACAAACAGTCCTGGAAACTTACTCTCACCAAGCCCCACCACACAAACACAGGTAAGCATCACCTGACAACCTCAGTATGTCAATAACAATCTCAACAGTCCTGGAAACTTTCTCTCACCAAGCCCCACCACACCAACACAGGAAAGCATCACCTGACAACCTCAGTCGGTCAATAATAATCTCAACAGTCCTGGAAACTTACTCTCACCATGCCCCACCACACCAACACATGTAAGCATCACCTGACAACCTCAGTCTGTCAATAATAATCTCAACAGTCCTGGAAACTTACTCTCACAAAGCCCCACAACACCAACACAGGTAAGCATCACCTGACAACCTCTGTCTGTCAATAACAGTCTCAACAGTCCTGGAAACTTTCTCTCACCAAGCCCCACCACACCAACACAGGCAAGCATCACCTGACAACCTCAGTCGGTCAATAATAATCTCAACAGTCCTGGAAACTTACTCTCACAAAGCCCCACCACACCAACACAGGTAAGCATCACCTGACAACCTCTGTCTGTCAATAACAGTCTCAACAGTCCTGGAAACTTACTCTCACCAGGCCCCACCACACCAACACAGGTAAGCATCACCTTACAACCTCAGTCTGTCAATAACAACACCAACAGTCCTGGAAACTTACTCTCATGGAGGCCCACCACACCAACACAGGTAAGCATCACCTTACAACCTTGGTCTGTCAATAACAACACCAACAGTCCTGGAAACTTACTCTCACTGAGGCCCACCACACCAACACAGGTAAGCATCACCTTATGTTTATTTGAAACTCTACTGTTATCAAGGTTGCCAGTATCGCCACAAGTAACCAGGTAGGAACATATAAGGATTGAAGACTGCTGTGCTTGATTTTGAGGAGTGATGAATTGAGGTGATCTTGATAAAATATGTTTGTATAATTTTGGAACAGTTATGTCCAGTGTCTTTTTACCAAAATTTTACAACGTCCTGTTCCTACATAAATTTGAAAAATACAACTTTTTTTTTTTGATACATGTATTAGGAAGATATTTCTCATTGTTTCTTCATTTTGGGGGGAAAATACTTTTTCTAGGGAAAGTAGCCTGTACATGGCTGTAAAACTGATGTTGAAATTAAAAATGTGTGCAAATATTTTGTGTCTACTACAGCAAAACCCAGGAATGAATTTCAGCTCTGCAGTCACATCCCAAGTTTCCAACAGCAATGCACAGTCGTCGAATGGGAAAGGAGGTGCTAATGGGAACAAAGGGCAGACAACTGGGATGGGTCAGATACAGCAGGCACAGGCTACAGCTTTGGTGGGAGGAAAACCTATCATGCCTACCCAGGGCATGCAGGCTGGTGGCCCACAACCCTTGGTGCTGTCACAGCTCAGTAAGTTTATATATATAGTCACTTAAATAAAGTTTAAAAAAAACAATACTCACATTTTGAAAAGACTTTCAAGATTAATTGATAAATTGCCAAAGTTTCATAACAAATAAAAAAAGAAATTACTATTTACTGAAATTTCATTAAAAAACTTTGTCAAAATATTGCTAACGAAATATCAAAGTTTTACTTTATTACACAAACAATGTTGGCATGTGTAGTAACGTTTCAAAGGGACCATTCAGTCTTGAAACTTTGCCATACAATTTAATATGTACATTGTTTGTGTATAAAGTAAAACTTTGATTTGACATATTTCCAAATACAGGAATCTTATTGAAGATGTTGTTAACAAAATAAAAATGTATTTGATAGAGTACTTGGACAAGCATATACCTATTTTCTATTTGCAGGTGTGCTCCCTAACCCACAGGTAGCAAACACACAGGGATTTGTTACTGGCCATGTAAGTATATCTTGAGCTGCAAAAGCCATTTTATATCTGAGAGTTAGTTAAATACATCTCTTTCTGGGATTTTTTTTAATAATTTGTTTGGTAAAAATAAAAACTGCCATGTATGAAAAAATGGTCTTCCTCTTGTAAACCTTGCAATCTTATGTTTTAGGAAACAATATTACTGTGCACTTTCGCTACATGGCGGTTAAACCTTGTATGGATTGAAAGTTGTTTATTCTGTGGTATGTTTCATCTTATCTATTTCTCTGAAATTCCCAGTCTTGTAAAGGGTCTTGCTGTATTTAAATGTTCTATGTGTAAGCTAGGCCAATGTGTTGTTTCTTAAAACATGTGTTTATATCTTCAGAGCAAATGTCAGTCAATGTCCCTGAGCCAGACTGGTCAGTCGCAGCTCATCAACACACAGGCTCCAATACGCTTCTCCCAGCCCCAGATTGTGTCCAGTACCGGTCAGATTATCTCCTCTCATGTCCAGCCCATGCTGGCCAATCAGGCGGTCTTACAGGCCATGGCTAGTCTCCAGCAACAGGGCATTCCATTGGCTCATCAACAACTCCTCTCTGCCCCAGGCCAGTCACCAACTATCTTGTCTGCGGGACAGTCGCTGTTCCTACGACCTGCCAGCCAGATCCCAACACAACAGGGAATGATGACAGCCACCGGTGTCCAGACAATAGGTCCTGCAATGAAGGGCGGCCGCATGGAAATGCCACAGAATTTACAGGTCAAGGCCAATCCTGGGTCGGTGGCCTTGTCAAAACAGGCAGCCGGAGCTCAATCTGCCGGCAAGGCTATCCTGCCTTCTTTAGGGAAAATTAACACTGCCAAGATTCCCCCAACTCAGATGGTAGGACAGAGGACAAAATTGTCTATACCAAGCCTGCCTCGCACACCGAAGGGCAGGCCTCGAAACCAAAACAAGAGCACAGCAGTGACTACAGCCACAGCTGCCACAAACACAGTGGCATCAGCCTTAAAGGCCACTGCGGCGGCAACGAGTCAATCTAAACCCGAAACACCCACCACTCAGGTGGTAAACCTGACCACTCAAGCTAAGAGCCAGTCTGATTCAGAAATAGAAGCTGCTAAGAAAACCACAACACATGAATCGTCCAGCAATGGAATGGCAGAGGTGAACCAGACAGAAACTGGGTCAAAGGTGAAAGTTCAGATTTAGGCTATGTTGGAAAAATAACAGAAATATACAACAGTTAAATTAACAGCGAAACGACTTTGAAGAGTGGAAATAATACAAGTGCAAAAGTTTACATTTCTACAGAAAATCCCTCCATTAGTTGGTGATAGCGACTATTCTGGAGAATCAAGAACAACTAACTTTCATATTTATAATTTATGTTCATGTTGACTTTTCTTTGTTTATTTCCACATATATATGGCTTATCTATTCATAGACGAAATATTTTGTATTATTGTGTTATGCCAAGTAGCATCTTTGATTGCTTGTTCTATGTGTTGAAACTATTAGATAATGTACAGAAGTGTGTTTTCTATTAAATAAAATGACTTAAATGTTTGTGTAATTTAAGAAAGATGAATCTTGTATTAAATGTTTCCACATGATTATATATTTTTTCAGGACCCACCCACATCTGATCCAAACCTGGTGAACTCGACAACCGACCTATCTGAAGACAAGATGGATACTAACGAGAAAGTGGAAATAGTTGCTGTTGCACCGATTGTGGTGGAGAAACAAAGGGCTATTGTAAAACCCCACATTCTTACCCACGTGATAGAGGGCTTCATTATACAGGAGGGACCTGAACCCTTCGCTGTAAGTAGGCCAGACCTGCTCAAGGTCATTTGTAAAACCGATCTATTTCATAATGCAGTCATGTTCACTGTAAGAATTGTTACACTTAAAATCTCCAGTGTTCAAAAAAAATAAAAATGTAAAATATGTATTACCTTATCCATTTCAATTTTAATATCATTTTCAAAATTTGTTTTACTGGCAGTTAGTAGAAAATTGAATCAGAATTAAATCACAAACTGTCTTGTATCTTAACACACAGTTTGCATTGTGCACAACCAGTATAACTATATCTATTTTGCAAGCTTTTAAATACACCCGACTCCTTTGTCACTGGTCTTTTAATGTAGGCGGTCAGACAGATAAGTGATATGTTAACCCATTTTGCCCCGTCCATCTGACTTGTGTATTTTTAGAGTAAATTGAGTATATTGCATTAACCATTATGTGATCAAAAGAACTGTTAGAACGTCTCACAACATTCCACAATTTGAAGAAGAATATTGATTGATTATATATTTATGTTGTTAAGGTGGAGAGATCGTCACTTCTCACAGAGTTTATCCCACCTAAACCTGGACAGACACCTTCTGAAGACAAACAGATAGACTTAGATGGAGATTCACACATGGACAGCGGTCACTCTTCGTTGACCAACAAACAAGGCTTAGGTTAGTTAGTCCTGACCCGTGAGATAAGTCCTTAATAGTTTAACCTGTCTTGAAAAACTATTCCTTCTGCCATAATAAGAGAAGTTATCATGAGAGACTATTTGGCCCCAGCATCAGAGATGCAGGTGCCCTTTAGTAATCACTGTGTCAGTCTGTCTGTTCACACTTTCATTTTCAGAGGTTATCTCTTCATTGACCAACAAACAAGACATAGGTTAGTTAATCCTGACCTGTGAGATAAATCCTTCGATAATAATAGTTAAACCTGTCTTTAAAAACCATTCCTTCGGCAATAACTGGAGAAGTTATCATGAGAGACTATTAGGGCCCAGTAGCCGAGATGCAGGTGCCCTTTAGTAATTACTGTGTCAGTCTGTTCGTCCATCCACACTTTCATTTCCAGAGATTATCTCAGAGCCCAAAAGACCAATCTTATTGAAATTTGACATGGTGGTACATGGTGATATGTAGATATGGATTGCCACATCCTTTTTGCACATGGCAGGGTCCTTGCTGACCTGTCAGTGTTCTAGTTATATGTGAAAATTTGATTTCCTAATCCAATAGATTATATGTATTCTCTGTAGTACTTCCACTGTTAATTGAGACAGCATGGTTATGTAGTTTACCAATGTAAAGATAATATTTGATTAAGCAACCTCTTTGAGAAATTTTATTTCTCTCCTTGAATATTGCTTCCGACTTGTTATCGACTTCCTAATCCCTTTGATAGATGTCATTGCCTTGTAATATTAAATGCTCATTCCTTCTAATGTAAATCCTATTATTTCAGCAGTCTTTAAAACAAAATTCTTGTTATTGCATTGAACTTGATGTGCATTTTGTTTGACATGTTGCTGGAACAAAGATTTTTAGAAAGATTTCTATTTTTGTATCTATGATTAAACTGTTTTATTATTTAACAGCAGACAACACAAGGAGACCATTTGTCAAGTGTGAGTTCTGTGGCAAGGATGAACAATCCTCCAGATTTAAGAAGTCAAACAGATTTTGTTCCATGCCATGTGCAAAGAGGTTCAATGTTGCCTGTTCACGTCGTATATCCTTGTTCAGGGTTCGGGGTCGACCACGTAAGTATCTGTGGAAATTCACTTCCTAAATTTCTCGGCCCAGATGTATCAACGTTAATTAAGTTCTACTTTCTTGTTGTTTTCAACTGAATGGTTAAGTAGTGTAAATATAGGACTGATTTACCAATTAATACACACAACTACCAAACATGATTGGTTTTAATAGTTCAGCCATGATAATTTCCTCTGACAGATAAACATTGATATCTATTGAATTTGTTAATTTCACCACCTGCAAGAAGAAAACTGATATTTGCCACATATAAATAAGACCTGTTGTAAGGTATTACTTATTGACAGAAACAAATAACTTTTGAAATCATGATCAACTATTTTGAATTTTGTGTTTCAGCTTCACTGGCCTCTAGTGGCAAGGTGATGAAGAAGAAGCCGGTGTTTGGGGTGAGGAAGGGTTGGCGGGGAGGACGCGGATCTCGCTACAATGTCAGTAGCCATTACAGCAATATTTTGTGTCATTATCTTCTTGTGTTCTATGTATGAGAAACTGTCATGTCAACGTAATTTATGTGTGAGATTTATGTTCATGTGGATTATGTTAAGACCCATGTTCATGGAATTGTTGTATAAAGTAAAACATAACCCATTGATTGAAGTTTAATGATTTCATTAAGCGTGGTTTATGACATTAAGTATTTCCATCTCAACTGGGCTCGGGAGATACACATCAACAATACATTTGACCACACTATCAGGTCTATACCCAATATCCAGCTTATGGGCCGTGTGCAGGGAGGGGTGCGCACGATCTCCTTTTTTCCACACGTCCCTTAGGGCTCGGGGCGATCACGTGACCACTGACCAGTATCCAGTTTAGTGTCACCACCCATGCAGCATCAGCATCACAGGCAATATGTAATCAAAGTTGAAAAACTGATGTATAGTGACTGTGGTAGATAACAAATCCTATATGACACTCAATGTTCTAAAGGTTTCTACTTATTTTGTGTTTCAAAGAGTATTTATATGCTGCATGTCATTTTAAAAGTTTAAAATGAACTATTAAAGGTAAAACAAACAACGAAATTCAACTTGCAAATTATAATTTTCATCCGCAGATTGCTCCAATGAGTTGTGGCTTCTTGCAGCTCTTTGAAGTGTTGCCATATTTATTTGATAATTCCAGTAAGATTAAGTTCCATGATGAGTTAATAAGAGTTTATATTCAGTGAAGGCAGAAAAGAAATTCTTAGTAATGGAGGTCACACATGCATCCAGGCCCCCCAATATCTACATGAAATAGCCTTTAACAAAATGTATGCACATTCAGCTACTAATATTATATCATATTGATTTTTGTTTTTTGTTTTGTGTGTTAAGTTATCTGGAGAAATGGACTTGGATGACAATAGCCAGTTCGACCATGCCGAACAGAGCAGTTCTCCGAGCTCCGAGAACGAGAGCAGCATGACCCCTGACTCTCCGACCACAGTACAGGGACAGGGAGACGGGGACTATCAGGATACACCCCAGTCTAACCCCGCTCGCTGGAACGTATGTATCACTCCCTGATTGTGTAGTTCTGTTGGTATCTTATACAGACACATTATTGCATTTAATAAAAGGAAAAGCACATATAAAAAATATCACAACTTTGAATAAAAAATTGCTTACATATTATATTACGGATGTAGAATAGAAAATTCTCACGGGTTTTAACCAGATTTTTATGTGCAGAGTACAAGAAAATACTTAAATCGGTAAAGATTTCATCTTCGTCTGAAATTGCATTTGTTAGTCAGGAATTAAACTGGGTATTAGCTCATTCACCCCTAAAGACACATTTGAACCTTACCAAATCAAAGATAAGGCAAGTCCAGTTTAAATATTTAGGAGTGAACGAGTTAAAGCTTCAGTCGAAAATATATAAATGATTTACTTTTTCTGTAACAAATGATATATATTATAGATATGATGAAGTATGCTTAACTCAAATAGGAGAGCCTTTATAATGGAGCAAAACAAATTTACTAAAAAGCTAGGCTACACTATAGCTGGTATAATGTATTACAATATAGCTGGTATAATGTATTACAATTTAGCTGGTATAATGTATTACAATTTACTAAAAGCTAGGCTACAATATAGCTGGTATAATGTATTACAATATAGCTGGTATAATGTATTACAAATTACTAAAAAGCTAGGCTACACTATAGCTGGGATAATGTATTACAATTTACTAAAAAGCTATGTTACAATATAGCTGGTATAATGTATTACAAATTACTAAAAAGCTAGGCTACACTATAGCTGGTATAATGTATTACAATATAGCTGGTATAATGTATTAAAATTTACCAAAAAGCTAGGCTACACTATAGCTGGTATAATGTATTCCAATTTACTAAAAAGCTAGGCTACAATATAGCTGGTATAATGTATTACAATTTACTAAAAACCTATGTTACAATATAGCTGGTATAATGTATTACAATTTACTAAAAAGCTAGGCTACACTATAGCTGGTATAATGTATTACAATTTACTAAAAAGCTATGTTACAATATAGCTGGTATAATGTATTACAACCTTATATAACAGTGGCTACATTTGCGTATCCCGGTTGAAACGGTACGTGTGATGCAGAAATTTTCCACAATAAACGAACGCACTTGGACCGTTCTATAAGCAGAGCTTAAATCCACAGTTTCGGAGAATAAAAAACAATGTATCAAGAATAATATGCCCTTCTTTCATCTGTCCACTAAATTACATAGCGTATCTTAAAAACTACATGTGACTTTACATCGTTTTAGAAAGAAATAACGCAAACTGGCAATAGTCAGCATTTTAGTTTCGGTCAGGTACGTCTGGACCCCTCAATCTACACGTGCCAAACTTTCCTGAGGTCAGCCTCGGTCCAGATCTGTGCCTGTCGTTTTCTTTACAGGTTCAACCGTTTCAACTGGATAAGCGAATGCACCCAGTGTCTCTGATATGTAATAAAGCATACATTAAGGGTTTTACATGCATGTCCATGTCATATTGAATTTATAAAACGAGTTAATAATTTGATGTGACAAGCATTTAGGTGATGGTATATAAAATTATTTAACAAGTTTAATAAATTCAGTATGACATGGACACGAATGTAAGATTCTATTTATCACATAACTTTCATAATTTGAGAAAAAACCCTTCAAACACAACTATGTGTTATCAGCTGACTCCGTAAACATCAAAACCAAAGTACTTTGATCATAGTATTGTCATTCTGTTCAGATTTTATTTTTAATAATGAACAGTTTTAAATGCAATGAAAATAATAATGACAAAATAAACATTTCAAATTCAATTTCGGGAAAAAATGCAATTAATAGAGTTCACAAATTTGACCAATCACAGCTCCTTAAGGTTTTATTAAACGTGTGTATTACCATGTTCATGACAAAGTGAAATGGGTCAGTTGTGTGATAAATAAGTTTTATGTTATATGATGAAGTCTCGCAAATCTACCTTATATAAAGAAACCTACATAGATGTGACTTTGTCTACACAGGTTATTGAGGTGTACGAGTTTATCAAGTCCATGCCTGGCTGTGCCCCGTATGCTGAGGAGTTCCGATCACAGGAGATTGATGGGCAGGCTCTGATGCTCCTCAAGGAAGACCATCTGATGACAGCCATGAGCATGAAACTCGGCCCAGCTCTAAAGATCTGTGCTCGTATTAACACACTCCGAGATGAGGCCGTTTGAGGAAATATGAGATTAATTGTTGAACATTTTTTAATTCTCCAGAAAGTTATTTTAGACGGTTAACGATGCTTGCTCATCAGATAACTGGATGAAATGTGATATTCATCACATTGGCTGGATTGTCTTAATGAGTCATCGGAGTGGATGGGGAAATTTGATTACATTCAACAAGTGTTTGGTGAATAATCTTAAAATTTTCATCATATTAACAGTTGAACTGGGGTGACATGGAATTTTGAATTGTACGTCAGATGTATTGGAGAACATCATATAAGTGCTCATAGTTCATACAATGACTTTAGATAGTGTAGCCTCAGAGACAAGGGTGGTTATGTATAGTACTGGTCTTTTTCATCATTTTATAATCGATTCATCATTATTCAAATAATATTTATTGATTATTCATGTTAACAAGGAAAAAAGGGGTAATATTCATCAATAGAAGATCTTGTTTATTTTATAAAAACTGAGTATTTAATATTTGGTTCATCATCTTAAGTAGGAGCATTTGTATTAGGTGTGTTCAAGGTACTGTGTACAGTATTATTTTTGAGTATTAAAGGTGAAAAAAATAAAAACAGGGATTACATCTATATAAAAATAATTCAACTCAAATTGTGTAACATTTTCGAAGTTTCTGAATTCTACATTGTGCAATTCTGCACATCAATGCAGATTTTTACAACATTTTACTGTGAAACGGAATCTTGCCGAAATTTACAACACTGTGCTTTGAAATGGAATCTGGCAGAAACTGTGAAATAGAATCGGTATACTTGAGTGCGTAACCCCTGTGATGGGATAGAACTGTTAACGTGGTGGTCCCTTTAGTACTAGATGTTATGTAAATTACATTAGTAGCATTTATATGTTTGTACTGATAGTAACTGTGTCGTGACAATCTTGAATATTTCACAACACAATACCTTTAAAGTTTACTCTACCAGACTTCATGCCTTTTATTTTATCATTTGTTTATCATATCAACATTTAGAAGATAAATACGAGTGGGAATGTGTGAAGATGACTTTTGTCTACATGTTTCTTTTCATGTCATAATTAATTATAAGGAGTGTGTGAGAGAATATGAAGAGGAGAGGAAAGTGATGTGACAGAAAGGCAGGGGTCCAAGTCTTAAAAGAAGTTCGGAAAAAAATTCTGTAAATGCACTGGTAGGTTATACAATATGTGTGTCATTACTACTGTATTTGTAAGTAGTAGCATTGTTGTATGTTAGTGTGCTGAAACTTAAGTTCATGTCATACCTGGCATGATATCGTAGTTACAATACCACATGGTTTGTATCTGACAGGCCATTATAGGTACAATACCACATGGTTTGTATCTGATAGGCTATCGTAGGTACAATACCACAAGGTTTGTATCTGACAGGCTATCGTAGGTACAATACCACATGGTTTGTATCTGACAGGCTATCGTAGGTACAATACCACATGGTTTGTATCTGACAGGCTATTGTAGATACAATACCACATGGTTTGTATCTGATAGGCTATCGTAGATACAATACCACATGGTTTGTATCTGACAGGCTATTGTAGATACAATACCACATGGTTTGTATCTGATAGGCTATCGTAGGTACAATACCACATGGTTTGTATCTGACAGGCTATCGTAGGTACAATACCACATGGTTTGTATCTGATAGGCTATTGTAGATACAACACCACATGGTTTGTATCTGATAGGATAATGTAGGTACAATACCACATGGTTTGTATCCGATAGGCTATCGTAGTTACAATACCACATGGTTTCTTTCCAATAGGCTAACAATCTACTAGATGCCGAGAGCCACAAGATCTTAACTTCGGGTTCGCGTGATAGAGGTGAATTTGTAATTTTATTTCAGTTTGAATTATTTTATTTTAAATGTTGATTGAGTATGTCATATACATTTACATGTATTAAGAAATTCTTAAGAAGAAGCTTGTTTGTCTGTTATGATTACATTTTGGAATTTAACAGTTGTATCATGTAAAACAGGTTCAAAACAATTGAGCTATATGTAAACATTTACATATAACTACAGAAATTTTTGAAATTACTTCATTTGCAAAAAGATACATCAATGATACCGGTGTATATATCTAAAAGAAAGTAATTTATATTCACATAACAACAGTGAATGCATAATTCTGTTTTCCCAGTTTTATTCTTCCAAGCATGTTCTTTAACAAAACTGTGTAAAGAATGGTTTCCTAAGCTCGACATTTTCATAGATCTGTTGAATTTCTTTGAGCAACAATGAGCGTTAGATTACTTTCTACTGTTTTATGTGCCATAGTTTGGGTTTTAAATGATGTAAATACCAGTTTGTGAGTTGTAGTGATTCACTTTAAATCAATGATGTACAATAAAAAAAAAATGCAGTCCAGACCCTTGGATTTATACAAATACCGTACTTAAAAAGTTTTCAAGATTACTATTTGACTAGGTAAAGCAAAATGGTCAACTTTCCTCAGCAGACCTTTTTCTTCAAATGAAAAATGTCTTCATATTTCGAAGCCAAAGATATCTATATTACTCACCAAATATTAAAAGTAAATAAGTGTTTTTTCATAAATTCCATCCTTTGAATACCTTTGTTTACCCTTTCACCACTGTGGACCACAATTGACTCATCCAGATAAATGGATGGTAGAGTCTACTAAAGTTACCTAGGGGTGAAAGGGTTAGTTTAGTCAAAGCCGACAATTTAACGTAAGTAATACTGTCAGTGAAGGATGTAAAAATAAAAAAATTGAGGAACTTTTTATATACCAGGATTAAATTGAAAGTAAAGCTTTTTATATCAAAGAAAATATCATTTTGTTTTTCCTCTGAACAGACTTTGGTACTTCTGTCACTGCTTATACCTAATTTTCTGCAGTAGGTTGTGAAAATGAAATATCTATATATTTAAATAAGCCGACATTAAGACACCTGTTAATGAGTGTAACTTTGTTTTGTATATTGTTGATTCTTTTTTCCTCTTGTGTGACCGAGTTTCAAAACCAGACCCGCATTTCTCAACAACAACAAAAATACCAGACTTAACTTTCTCAATATTAATATTTGCCATTTTACTTTCATTTACTTGTATACATAGATAAGTTGCAGTAATTATTTATAGATAATTTATTACAGTGAATGGTATTTATTTTAGACATAAAGTATAAAAAGGATCAAATATGAATTATGAAAATCATAAGATGAAATACTTATGAAAATGAAGGAATTTTAAATAACACATTCTGATTCAATTTCGCTTCAATAGGTGTGTTAGCAAAATTTAATTTTGGAAACGTTATGTCTGATTTTCTTTTTTTCTTTTTAAATACATGTATGAAGAAAATGCAGGGCTGGTAGATTGTGCCATGGTGTACTGTGTACAAGTAGCCTAGTATGTTATCATGACCTATTTTACGGGCCGGATGTAATGTTGTAGCTATACGTGTGACTGATATTACAGCAGGGCCACATTGATCCAGCCACCTTCCTTTCCAGCTTAGTTGCTCGATTGGGAATCAACATGGGTACCGGGCCAGTTTTGAATTGGAAAAAAAATCAAAATAGAAATGGTTTCTTCAGAAATACTGGCTGGATAGCGGGGTAGCCGGATTAACAGGGCTTGACAGCCAAATGTACTTTGTGTAAATAATTGTAGCTGTAGTAAAAAATTTGTCTGGCGATGATTTCTCCCTATAAATCAAAAGTTTTCGCAATTGTTTTCCCGTTTGTGTTACATGTATGCTGCCATTTTCATTCAGAATTGAGGCAGTGCTGCTACCATTAATGTAATGTATAAAAACCGTCAATGTATTGTCTGGCCATATTTGGCGTTATAAAGGAGATTGGTGGCGATATTTTGAGGGAATTAAGAAAAACAAACAAGCAATGACATAGGACAGTAAGCGAGTTGGCAAATTAAAGAAGGGGCATTATATCAACTTAGTACTGTAGAATCATTTTGTAATAACAGAATTGCTCACGTTTTTTAAGTAATATAAAATGACAGCTAACGACAAAGTAGACTAAGAATATGACACGAAAGAAGGTTAAAATGTAGATGTTATAATATCAAATAGAATATTTTGTGTTAGATGTTGTGTACAAAAACAGATGAAAAATGCTAACAATGAAGAAGAAATTGAGAAAACTTATGATTAAATGGCAGATTTGTTTTAGAGAAATATTTGATGTACATAATATTTACACAACGAACGGCATTAAACACTGATGTGAATAATATTTCAGTTGTTTCCCTTTTGTATTCTTTTAACAATATGGTTCTCATAAATATACCTACGGAGTAAAACACACGGTGAGCATTTGAATTCTTAAGGCCCAAGAAAAATGTGTCCATTATCCAGGATTTCAGTAGGAAAACAATCAGGATTATCTATTTTAGTTAATAGGGTTATTCCAATAACCCCTGCTTTAGACTTAAGTTAATATAGTTCTATAGGCTTATTTTACAGTGTTTACTCATTTAAGGATCCCTGTCCCACTGCACCTCCATCTTTCCTATACACATTAACTTCCCCTTAATTTCTGTTTGGACGTAACTGCAACACATTGGGCCATAACACTTCTGTTAACCAGGTAGTGCAATTGTTTAGAGCGATAGTATATCAATTGAAGTCCAAAGTTTGAATCCCAAACTAGCCTCACTGAATTTTAATTGGGGAGAGCATATAGTTTTGCCCATGTTTTTCCCGTCCCGATTCAATGTAAACACTTGGCAACTTAATTCTTTCACGGGTTTTCGTCAAACTTTATAAAAAGGTCGAGTATGAGTATACCTTGGATACCGTGTTTCAGGGTTCCAAGGTCAAGGCCAAGGATGCTATATATAAACAAGAGGCCCAGGGGCCTTAATAGCTCACCTGGTATTTTATTTTTAGGTCACCCGAGACAAAGTCTCAAGTGACCTATTGCGATCGCCTTTTGTCCGTCGTCGTCCTTCGTCCGTCGTCCGTCGTCCGTCCGTAAACAATTTACATTTTCGACTTCTTCTCCAAAACCCCTGAACCAATTTCAATGAAATTTTGCAGGGACCTTCCATGGACAAAGGTCAACAAAAATAGTTGCCGGTTTAGTCC